TAACACATGCAAAAATGAAATAAATTGCAAATGCTCCATGCAGAAAATGAGAGGAAACATGTGTCCCTGTGTCATGGACACATCATAAATCCACACAATCTGCTGAGGCAGCACAGCATGAGGGAAGGAAGCACAGGCTTTGCAGTTTGATGAGCAAGACTTCAATCTTGCAGGCGCTTAACCTCTTCTACCTCATTTCCTCACTGTAAAGCAGGTTTAGCTACACTGTTATGTAGATGAAAGGGGAAAATGTAAGTGAAGCTCAGTATACAATATAGTTCCTTAACAAATGTTGGTTCCTTTCCCCTTTGCACTGACAGAAAATACCCCAGAGGTCCTGAAAAGCAGTTCTTCAATGCCAACTGCCTTCCCTTAAAAAACTAGGTCTTAGGGGAGCAGCTAAGAATCATAAGATGTGGTCGCGGTTGAGATGTTATCTATGGCAAGAATGCCCATCACCGTAGATGTGGTTATGTATGCACAGGGGTGGGGGTGTGGTGTTGGTGGGGTACAGACGCACATGGGCAATGGTTTCCTGCTGACAGTATGACGCAAAGCACAGGAAACGCCACCTTTAAAGTGTCTCGTTTCCAAACCATAAGAGACTAAAATTACATATGTGTATGCGTGATAGTGTTTCTTAAAATGAAAAGGGAGAGAAAAAGAATCCATCCTAATGTCTGCTTCACTGCTGGTCTGTGAAATGGCTCTAGCTGGTAGTTAGGGAAGCATGCTGAGTATACATGCATGGTAATGACTGAGCCCAGCACTTGTGGCTGTAGGCAGAGAGGCAGCATGAAACACAGTTGTGGTGGCAACAGTCACCTGGAACTGTTATCTTGTAGCTGCATCCTGAGACATCACACTGGATGTTCCCTTGGGTTCAAGTCCATGCTCTACCAGGTACAGGGATTTGAGAACTGAACACTTTCCCTGTGTGACACTCATCTTTCTCATCCATGAAATCATCCACAATGTCTTGAATGAGCTTGGAGGTAAACAATTTGAACCCCTGGATATATTAGGAAAGGCAAACAGATTTCAGTTTGAACGCAAAATCTCACAGCCATGCTGAAAAGGATTCTGAGGCAGCTGGTCTTACTGGGCAACAGTGCTCCAGTCCATTGTCTTTCTAATGATGTCTTGTCGAGGTTATTATTAGAATTATATAATTTATGTTTCTAAAGCCACATTCCAAGTAGGAGAAGGACAGAAACTGCAAAATCATGTTAGGGAAACAAAGCTGAGATTTTTAATTTGCAACTGATAATCCATTAAATGGACAAAAGTCAATTCCTTGAGGGCTGGGACCATGTCTTCATGACCCTAAAATTCTCTTCATATCATTGTCCAGAGTAGTTCCTTATACTTAATAGATGCTCAATTAAGTTTCACTGCATTAAATTACTGAGAGTTTTAGGAGTAATTTGCTCCTGAAGAGTCAGACTACCAAGCATAGAATTTTGACCTATTTTAGAGGTAAAAGCAGAGTGGGGAATAAGGGAATCGAAATGTATCCATCACTTCTCATGAGCTAAGAAGATTAAGAATTATTTTACTTAATCCCAACTCTAATCCCTTGAGTTTGGTATTATGGTCATTCCCAGTCTCTGGGTTAAGGCTCCGAAAGGTTAAATAACTTGTCCAATGAGGTATGGTTGGTTAGTGGTAAGGAGAGGATTGAAACTCATGTCAGTTTTGACTCCAAGGTTAAGCAGGGGAGTTCTTCCCTATTCTTCTGAAAGAATAATACCAACAATTTTGACCCCAATTGAACACGGATGCTTTATGAACATACTGAACTTCACTTCAAGCACTCCAGAGTATCTGATTATGGCTACAAATAATAATTCATAGATAGTGCTTCACAAATTAACAAATGATTAACAAATGACAGTGCTTAACAAATTGCAAAGGGCAATAATACCAACATGGGATAGAGGGAATAGCACTGGACCAAGAGCTTTTCTTACCATAGCTTTGGCAAAGACTAGCTGTGTGACCCTGGGCAAGTCACTTCCCCTCTCTGGGCTTTACCTTCTTTGTCTGTAAAGTAACCAATATGGACCAAAAAAGCTCCTTTTCAGAGCTATCAGGCTATATGGAAGGCTGACAGAAGAGTCAAAGACAAACAGCTGGAGAAGAGCAAAGGAGCTGAAAAGCAAAACCCCATGGAATAGCATTTTCAGAGACCAGAGATCTAGTTCCACCAGCCCAGAAGCAGAACAGCCTCAGACCAATACCCACAAGTCCCTTTACCTCTAAATCAAAGAAGGGGCCACAGCACAATTCTCTTTACATGAAGCAGGCCAGGCTATGGGCTGGGCCTCTTCCAGGGTCTTCAGACTATCGGCCTCATGCTCACCTGCTGCAAAAGCTTCCCCCCCCCCACCCCCCACAAACATGTAAACCGCTCCTCCTCCCAGGGTAGCAGAGTCCTAGACCTATCTGTGGCCAAAATCAGCCATCAGATTGCTTGATGTCCCAACCAAAACTCCCCCAAGTGTTGGTGGTGATTTGCTCCTGCCTGACTGACACTTGATTTTTTGCCACCCCAAGACTTCTTCCTATCAGTTTACAAAAGTGGCAGCTACTGGGGCACCCTCAGAAATGGCAAATGGAAGGGGCATCTGCAAACTCATCACTACCAAGGGACTCATTGCATTGTTGCTGCAGCTGTAGACTGGCTGGTACCAGAGGATATGCTCACACCCCTTACCAAGCCCAGCTCCAGACAGAACTTTGCATGTTTTGAGGATTTTTCCATCAGCCACTGCAGATGTCTATGAAACACCTCCACTCCACTCACACAGAAACACACAACTATGCAGAAGAAGACTCAGCGTACCAATCCCAGGGGGCCAGAACAATTAGAGTCCAAAGTGGGCTGGCGTCTGGTTTCACAGTCCCCATATCCTGATGTAGGAAGGGGCCAATTACGGCATGCTTGCTCCTATTAACAAGTCTCTCTGTCTTGTCTTCTGAGAGGATAAAGGAATTCCCACTATGCTTTAAGAATCAGCTAACATTGGTGCCTCAGATTCTGTGTCTCCCTCTCTCTATACCCCTCCCCTGCTCATGCACTGCCTCTGTCTCAAAAATAAACATTTTTAAAAATATTTTAAAAAGAATCAGCTAATATTGGGGTACTTGGGTGGCTCAGTCGGGTAAGCGTCTGACTTTGGCTCAGGTCATGATCTCATGGTCCGTGAGTTCAAGCCCTGCATCGGGCTCTGGGCTGACAGCTCAGAGCCCAGAGCCTGCTTCAGATTTGGTGTCTCCCTCTCTCTCTGCCCCTTCCCTGCTCGCTCGCTCACTCTCTCCCTCTCTCTCTGTCTCTCAAAAATAGATAAGGATAAAAAAAAAAAAAAAACAGAATCAGCTAATATTTTCTCTGTGTTGCCCTCACTCCTTATTTTCAAAATGGGTTTAACAGTCCTACCTTGCCAAATCTCAGGGTTGTTGTGAAGAAACATAGGATACCATTCATGAAGGGGCTTTATAAACTGTAATGGGTAGAGAATTAGTGCTACCAAAAGGCTCTGAGGGCAGATTGGTGTAAATCCCCTGCCCCCCCTCCCCCATAAAATAAAATGCTCACAGCACCTCACTTGCTGAGAATGGAGAAAAGCGCCCCTTCCAGGTGCACAGAGCACTACAGGTGACTTGTGGGGAGGCACATGCCAGGTAAAGAACCCCATTCTCACACTCCAGTATCTGTTACCATCATAGCTCTGTGCCCTTCCTACCTCAAGACAAAACAGCTGCCCTCTTAACCACAGCCAGGTGCCAGGATGGCCTGTCTGCAATTGTCTTCTCAGGGAGGGGAGGTGGAGTTAGTGCATGAGTACCTAAAGACCAGAACGTGACTCTCAATCCTGACACCTATGGGTTGTATGAGCTTGAGCAAGTCACCCGACCCGTGCCAACTTCCTCACACATCAAGTAGGCATAGTTGTATCCCACCGTGACCCACTGCCAACTGCAAAAGAATGTTTGGGCTCAGAAAAATGCCCTTTGCAATCTGTTCATCACTGTCATTTGTGAGTCATTTGTTACTTTGTGAAGCACTGTCTGTCTGTGAGATATTACTATGAGTAGCCATAATCAGATACTCTGGAGTGCTTGTAGTGAATTTCAGCATGTTCACAAAGCATACACATTCAGTTAGGGTCAAAATATCGTTCAAATAAATCCATTATTCATGATCCTGTGTCCCAGGAAATAAGAACATGGCTTATGCTCCTTTTGGGTAACTCCTGGGACAGTGATTATGCAGTTAATACTATTAACTTACACTCGGGAAGCCTTTCACTGTCTTCAAAGCCCAAGGTTACACAGGTGACAGATGGCTCGAGCTGGGCTCAAGCCCACATCTTTGATATCCTGGCCTCATGCTCCATCTACCCCGCAGGTGAGTGGAAAGCAGTAGGAATGGTTACATGGAACATCTGGGTTCCTTTCAGCAAGAATAGTGTGTCAAAGTTGCCATTCCTTCTTGTGAGACACAAATGAAAAACTGGCTCAGTGAGAGCCAATTTCAACTGCTGCTGAAACCAATTCAAACATTTCTGAAGGTATGCAGAAATGTGAGCTACTTCTCAATTTATTTTCTTTTAAAAATCTTAGGAATTAAAAAAAAATTCTAATTTTGTCCATGATTCCTTTTTTTAAAAAAGTGGCTATAAATATGCACACATTCAAATATACAGATGTAGATGTATGTATGTGTTTGTATATACTTCATTTTAAATTCAATATTTAATAAATTAAAGGGGTTTAGTTTATTAAGACTATTTCTGGCAAAAGTCCTAAGGAATTAGGAATTAAGAGACACTAAGAAGGAAAAAAGTCCCATCCTGGAAGTAAACCTAAAATTGGAACCTGTAAGTTCAGGCTCCAAGTCAGAACTACCACTTATGCCTGAGAAAAAGAGGTGTCCCATCTTCTGACAGACTGTCCCTCCTTCCCCCATGCCCGAGGACCTCCTGGCCCCTTACCTGACTCTCTCCTCTTCCACTCTCTTCAGAGCAGCATCCCTCTGCAGAACCTTCATGATGGCTTCTTGCTCCTCCTCGGTCAGGAAGCTCAAGTCAATCATTTTGAGACGCATACACAAAGATAATAGCAACAAATCCGGCTTACAATTCTCAAAGCAAAACAACTATGACTGTAGTTCAAATGATTAAAAGACACAAAAATTAAGTGAAATAATATCTTGTTCAGTTCTGCAACAAAAGTCTTGTGTGTTGGCTCAGCTAAAGTTTTAGGTGACTGATTGCAAAATCCTCCGTACCCTCTTCAGCGAGGAAGTGGTGGCCTGTGGGACAAGGTGGAGAAGAGGCTCTCAGAAGGACGCTGAATTCCTTGCCAGACAGGTCACTTGTTCCTACGGTGGCATTCCTCCTCACACTCCCACTCTGGACCAGTTTTAGACACAACTGATTCTCCTTCCATCCAGATCATCGACTTGAGGAAAGGCAGCAAGATCCGAGCATCACCTACCTGGGGAATCATGAGACAGTAAACACCAGACAGTGAGAGGCAGTTCCTACAAGCATTGCTCATTATTACAAGATTTAAAACATGCCTGGGGAAAGAAAATGACCATGTGAGATGGTCTCTGAGATCAGGGAAACCAGTTCTGCCAGCTTCCTGAGCAAATGGGTCATGAAACATGCTTCAACTCAATTCCAGACTGCCAAGATGGAGAGCACACAAAATGCCGATCGACATTTGACAACTGACTGAGCAAAGGAATGGTCGCCAAAAGGAGCTGGTTCTCTCTCTACAAACTCATGGCATGCTAGGCTAAAAAGTCACACTCAAGGTCCATAAGACCAGGAAGACGTGATCAGCTGTCAAGTGATTATGGATAAGAAACTAGACGTAAAAATTCACAAATGCTCACATCTTCATGAGTAGGAATGTTGCACCAGAATATATCTGTGCTCTGTAATGACAGGTAGTGAGCTAGTATCAGGTTAGGGTACTTCGCGCAAGAGTGGAAATTGTTATTCTTCACCCAGTCCCACCTCTAACTTTGCTGAGTCTAGAGCAACTCACCAAGCTTGTCTCTCTTCATTTCTGAGGAGAAAATACCTGTGATGTGTGTGTACATAAACTGGGGAAAGGGAGATGCAGAATTTCAACCTCCACCCCCCATCCAAAATGAGAATTTTAAATAGGACTCTGGGTAAGAATCCTATTTTCTTTGAGGCAATTCAAACCCACGCGCAATGGGAAGGTGACACGAAGAATTCCATAGCCGTCTGGGATTTCAGAAGCCACCTACTTCAGGATTGGGGCCCTTTAACAAACACCGCGCTATACATACGGTAGACACTGAAAACCAGGTGTTCAGTAAGTTTTAAAGAAGTCTCACTGAAGAATAAAATAGAGTGTGTACACGCCTGAGTACTTTTTATGAGTAAGTTCTTCGCTTTGGCAAAATAGAACTGCTGAGAAGCGCCCCTTCTGCCACTTTAGCAAGCGAGCTCTCACTCTGCGACTCAGATTTCTTCTCATCTGCGCTGACTTCCCCATAGGACAGCCCTCAGAGGTTGTAAAGACTAAGTGAAACGTGAACAGAAAACAGCACATATCTTGCATCCTCTACCAAAAATAGCTACTGAAAATACATTCTAGCTTCCTTTCTGAGTTCACACTTTTGTTCTATCCCTCTGAATAAGAGTGTCCTTGATTATATAGTTTCCTTTTCTCTTTTGTATTATGTTTCCTTCCCAACTTCCCCATGAGGTGTGGACTTCATGGACAGATACTCTGATGACCTTTGTTTTAAATTCCTGTAGCTCTCTTCATATTGCCCACAGTGACTACTCAAAAATAAACATTAAGACACTACTTTCTTCTCTCTTTTTAAAATTTGCACTCATTTGTACAGGTTAGAGCCTACTTGTTCATCTTGGAGACTACTCATCCTTCAGGGTGAAAGTTACCAGTTCCAGGAAGCCTTCCCTAATTTCCACAGCCAGAGTTAAAAGTAGATTCACTTATGGCTCCTAACTCTTCACTCCCTCCCTGAAATAGCCATGCAACCATGTTGCCATTAGAGTAAGCAGAGTATTCGTCCCTACCTTCCTAATGTTGGGCTTGACCTGTGACTTTGGTCCATGGAATGTTACAAATGCCATACAAGCCTGACTGTAGATGCTCATGTGGTTTGGCTTGGCTTCTTACAGTCCTGCCATGGGCTACAAGAAGAGCTGCCACAGGTAAGCTACTGCCCTTTCAGTCTGGGTCCCAGAAAAGGAGGTATTGGGACAAACTAGAACCTGACCCACCTTAAGGCCACCCCAGCTGACCTGGCGATATGGGAAGAAATAAATATTTGTTGTTGGAAGCCACTCAAGTCTGGCGTTGTTCTAGAACACTTCTGTAGCAGGAGCCTAACTAATACAAAAACTTTCTTCTCCATATATACACTTTCACTGTTGTAACTATGTGTCTTCCTTCAGCCATTCCCATTTGACTGTGAGTCTCTGAATGTGAATAAGTAAATGAATGAACCTAATCCAAAAAATACAAGTTTGCCAGGGGATGGCTATCCTTTCATGCAGAATATCTTCTTTCATGCATAGGAACTTCCTTAGATCTCACAGGCTACCAAGGAAATGAATTCAGGCCACATTCTGAGAACCATGAACACTGCCATATGGTTCAATAAGAGACTGTTTTTAAATCAATAAGTGGGGGACAGGAAGAGGACAAAGGAGAAAAACAACTCAGGTTGTCCAACAGTGGTAATTGGCAGCGTTGCTAAAGGAGGAAATGCTGGTTTCCACACCTTCATGTACAAGCTAACCAGTGCTTCTGTGTAAGAGCTTCTAAGGGTTAAAGGTTTTTTCCTAAGAATGGACTGTTAGTGAGACAAAGAGCAAAGTCTCCATTTCACAGACAAAGGAGTGAAGGGCTGGAACCTTCGACTCCTAACTGGGTAAGACAGCATTAAAGCTCTTGGATGGCAATCAAGACTCTTCAATGCCAGGTGCTTTCTCAATTCCCAGTATTCTGGATGGTCTCTACCATGGGAGCTAATCAAGCATTTAATTCATTCATTCAACAAACACTTATTGAGAGCCTATTATGTGTCTGGCACTAAATAGAGCAATAAGTAAGACAGACAAAAACTTCGTGTCCCATGGAACTTACATGGCACTTAGAGGAGACAACGATAAAACAAAAAAGGCCTAGGTAATTAAATTATGTAACAAGGTGATAGCAGAGAAGGGAAGGGGGGAGCTGGAGTTTTAAAGAGAGTGATTAAGGTTGGTCTTGCTGAGAAGATGGCATCTGAACAAAAACTTGACAGAGGTGAGGAAACAAGCCACGCTGGTAGCAGAGGCTCCTGAGGTGGCAGTGTGTCTGGAGTGTTCAGAGAACAAGGAAGCTGGTGCCAGGACACCAGAGTGTGCCAAGAGGAGGACAGGATGGGGAAGGTCAGAAAGGAAGTATATCGGACGGTATTCTGCTTTGCATTAGCACTATATGACTTCTGGCTTTCACTCTGAGATGGAGCAGCACTGAGGAAAGGCAGAAAGAAGGAGAAGCAAGTATTTACAGGGTACGCGTAAACACCGGGCACTTGACATATATCATCTCATTGGATCCCCACAAAGATCTGAGGCTGGTGGTTTGGGATCTGTGTGTTTAGATGAGGAGAGTAAGGCTCAGAGAGGTGTTGGCCACCAAGCCTGTGTGTGGTGGGGCTGGTAGCTGTCAACAGCTTTGTCAGATTAAGCTGCCCCGATACTGAACTCTCCCTTAATTCTCCCAGCCACAGATTCTTCAAACTGGGAAGCAGAACAAAACTCTTCTGTCTGAATGTGGACTCTCATTCTCTGCTTAAGCATAAAAAAAAAAAAATCACTGGCCCTCAGCTGGCAGTCAGCAATGGGGGCAACTTCAGTGCAATGGGGGCAAATTGGGAGGGATGAAATCCAACAACAGGGATTCCCTATGTGTTCACAGGAGTAGCTCCCAGGGTGAGGCATAAAGTCTTCCTTAGCTTCGGCCTCCCTCCCACCCACCCTCGTCATTCTGCCGAGTGACTTTTCTAAGTCACATGTGACTAAGCCATATGGCCAGGTTTAAAACCCTTCACAACTTCCCATTGCCCCTGGGCTAATGCTCAAACTCCCCACCGTGGCCTGTGGGCCCCACATGAACTAGCACCAGCTTTCTTCCTTAGGCCATTGCCACACAACTTTTGCCCCCTTTGAATATGCTGTTCCTTCCTCCTGGAATACCTTTCCTGAGCTAATACATTTGCGTCTCAAGTTAGATGTCACTTATTGCACAGAAGCCTTCCCTAACCTCTCAAGGCCAGGTTAGGCATCCCTCTTGTGGGCTACAATAGCACCTGACTTCCTGAGTCAGGATATCTATCACACCATCTGGGATCCCTATCCGCTCATGTTTTTCCTCCACTAGTTTATGAGCAAGGCCTGGGCATCTGAGTGCTTTCTGTCCCTAGCACCTGCCACTGTTCCTTGCATCCACAAGGCACTCACATACTCAACACATGAATACAAATGGAAGAGGACTGAGCTGCCCCTTCTTCCTTGACATGAAGCTGGCTCTAGGGCCATATTGAAAAACCAGTCCATATTATTCACAGCTTTCAAGCTCTAGGTCTTTCACATGACTGTGTGGTTTAAATAAACTACATGACTTCCCCAGGTCTCAGTTTTCTCATCTATGTGATGGGCATATTTATTCTTACTTTCCCTTTCTTATGGAGATTACTCTCCACAGAGTAATGAGTGAAGCTCTCATAAAAATGCAGGACACCATCGAGAACAAATAAGGAGTGAGCAAGAGTAAGAGCAGCAGCAAAAATAAATAAATAAATAAATAAATAAATAAATAAATAAATAAATAAACATTAAAAGAAAAAAAAAAAAAGAGAGCAGCAACATGAAAGGGAAATTTACAGGCTCCAAATGCAGACTGGGCTTAATTCAAGTTTTTCATGTGTCAGCCCTGCTATGCCACATCTACAAAAGCCACTACTCCTTGTCAAGTGTCCAAAGTTAAGCTAGACAGGGAAACCAAGACCCCAAACAGTTGGTGCTTGCT